ACAAACAACCACCACCACACCAAAAGCAGCATTCAGTGGGGAAAATATCCCTACAGTTTTGAAAATATTTGCTGGCCTTTTAGTAGCCACCACATAGCACTGCTCAGGTCCAGGACCAAAGGAGCTGATGACCACTGGGACCTGTACAGCATTTGGCCTCACTGGCAGTTTGTTCTGTGGCCAGGATAATGCAGAGCAGGGTCTCAAGCTGTGTAGATGAGATGGGTGACAAGGTTTTGCAGTAACTGTTCAGCTGAAGCTCTTTATTTCAAGATTCTTTGGCATAAGATTTCCACAAAGTCACTCCGAGGCACTGTAAGCTGCCTATTCCATTTATTCCTCACTTCCTCTCCACTGTCCTAATGTTTAGTAAACTCCTCTTTTTCTTCCCAGTTTCAGTTTTCTGTCCAAATGAAAAATATAGAATGAGGACAGCACTCTATCCTCCAATGGACCTGTCAGCTGTTTGCAGGAATGCTGGCTGCTGGATCTTGGGCACTGGCTGCTTGCATAACTGAGATGGAGACAGCTCGGTCTGGCCCTTGCCTGGGTGGTCTGATGTTATCCCTATGATTGAACTCTCTGGCTAGAAGAATTGGAGCTATTCCTAATGATAGCTGAGTCCTGAAATCTCACACCCTCCCTCACAGAGAAGGGCAGAGCTCCCACAAGGCTTCCCCTCCTTCTCTCCCTCCTTCTGGTAAAGTTGGCCAATTCAACGCATTTTTTTGTACATGAGCATTAATAACTACAAAGTACTACAGCCTGGTAGATATCAACCACAGCCCTTGCCACCAGTCTGTGATAGGGACCTCACACAGATCCAACACTACAGGATAAAACCTTCTTTTTACCTTGCAGCGTATTTCAGAGAGAAGTAGCTTGCTATTCACAAAGGAAAGCATATAAATATCCAGGATCCATTCACCTGGCTCTGGATATATGCACATGTTGTGCATTTTAACTTTCTCCCCCAGAAGGTCCTGCAGTGCAAGCACATGGAAATATTTTATGCTAAACACAACTTAAGAACAGGCTTTAGAATTCATGCCTGGTAGGGAACATAGCAGAGGAAAAACAAGTCTAGACTATTTTGGTCACAGCCTTCATCCATCTATCCATCAGGGAAGGCCAATCACTAATATCACTACTGGTGATAGGTGATTGGTGATAGGTGAATGGATGGTTGGACTGGGATCTTGTAGGTCTTTTCCAACCTTGGTGTTTCTGTGATTCTGTAATAGGCACAGACAAAAAAATCTTAGTTCATCTCTCCTGAAGTAGTGTAGAAGCCAATACAAATCTTATATCAGAAAAGAAGATAACAAGAGCAATTTAGCCCCGAATACGATAGAAAAGGTTTAATTTCCCAAATTCACCATCAATGTACCTGCTGTTATTCTCCAACAGTACTCCAGTAGGAGTAAACCTAGCTCATGTTTGGCACTAGGCAAACCAAACAAGCAAATTTTCAGGGCAATCTGAAAAATAGAATTGACACACTGACAACACTGCAGTTGAACCACTACACAGCACATACTGACAAAGACATCAGCATCTTGTAAAAATAATTATCCATTATCTACAATGCATAATCAGGGAAATCCCTGATTTCAGATAATGATTTCCTCACAAGTGTCTCGGATATCCTGCTATCATAAAGGAAATACTTAGCGTGACTACAGTAAAACAACGTGGTAAGGAAAAGGTCATAAATACAGAAGCACAGCACGCATTCCTCATCACATTAAAGACAGAAAGCTCGTTCAGAGCAATGGCCCAACAAAACTGCTGTCCTGCCTGACACATTTCAGAGGATAGAAGACGCTTTAATTTCCATTTCAGTTAGCTGAAACATCTATTTGATAAGGAAAACTCATTACTTCTGTATGTTAAAATCTAGCAATTTATCATCTGAAAAGCATCCATTACTCTAAGGTAAATATTCCAGATCATGTTGTCCACATAAATCTACAATATAGCTCTGAATCCTGTTTAGCATTTGACCTTAATGGCATCTTGTTTCAGGAAGTCTCAGAAGATAAGCATATTGTGTATGATAGTAACTATTCCCTTTTATCAGTCTTTACTCTGGTGTCTTCCTGCTAAACTTAATATCCCTCTTATCTTATGATGAGAAACACAAATAAAATCATCATTATTTACCTTGTTATCCACTGCCTTCTATAACTCCTGCATTTCTTTTTCCTTTCTAAACAAACTATCTTCATTTTTATTTATTTGAACGCATGGTCATTGGTTCTGGAGCTGGGTGCGCTGCTTTAATTTACATGGAAACATGTACAGCCTTTATTACCAATAAGCACATTTGTTACATTTCTGTCCTCCATACCCACTTCACCACCAACTCAACCTTTCCATAGAAACTTTGTCACTATACATGTTGCATTTCTTTTAATTTCTTAAAGGTATACTCATCCAGCCATAGAAGATCCACTAAATATTTTTTGCCTGTTCTATCTTTTCTTCTGATACTAATTTCACTTCATTACCTGGAAAGAAAATGCAGCTCTTCTGTACCTACTACAGTGGAAATGTGTACAAAAGAAATTATTTAATCTCTCTAATACTCCTATTATCCAAGACTTATTTCCACAGACCTAGATTATATCTCCATTATGCTAGTAATGTACAATGGCAGAATTAAGAAAATCTGATTTCTGTGGCATCCCAGCACACCTCCCCTTGGCCATCAACACCTTGAGTACTGTGTTCAGTTTTGGGCCCCTCACTACAAAGAAGACATCAAAGCCCTGGAGTGTATCCCTGGAGAAGGGCAATGAAGCTGGTGAGGGGTCTTGAGCAGCTGAGGGAGCTGGGATTGTTTAGTGTCTCGGGGGAGATCTTATCCTCTCTACAACTCCCTGAAAGGAGGTTGTGGTGAGGTGAGGGTCAGCCTCTTCTCCCATGTAACTAGTAATAGGACTAGAAGGAATGGCCTGAAGTTGTGCCAGGGGAAGATTCAGATTGAATCTTAGGAAATGCTTCTTCTCCGAGTGAGAGAAGATCCTGGAGGTGTTCAAGAAGCATTTAAATGTTGTACTGACTTGGAAATTACCTGTTGGTTATAGGTGGATGACCTTAGAGATCCTTTCCAGCCTTGGTGATTCTACGGTTCTATAACTTGAGCGTATCCTAAAAGCATTTTTCATTGAATACAATTACAGAAGTTACCCCAGGAACTTCTTATTTTCTAGTCCAAGATGGAATACTCTTCCTTTATCTCCCCCACATTCTGGAAACCATGCAGTAAAAGTCACTATGTAAAGATGAAGTAGATTAACTACAGATTCTTAATGGTTCTAGATCAATATTTCTACTGTATACCACTGTGGAGGCACCCCATAGCTTCTCCTCATTGTAAGCATCTGATAATTTTTGATGATATTATATAAAATATTTTTCAGAAACACAAACCAATAAAATGGAAAACTGCATATTGTGAGGACTGAAGATGAAGTTCATACCAGATAAGTGTGAAACCACATTAGTAGGACATTCCACCTCCCATCTTATAAAACCTTGTTTACTTTATGAGTATCAATTTGAAGTTCCCACTTGGTGTTTCAGAAGTGACTGGAGAGGACTGACAAGCCAACTGATATAACCACAGACAGTCTTCTTTTCTAAAGACGTATGTTAAATTACCTTGTTCAAAGCTTTCCAGCTACTTACACTTAAAAACTTCCCTTGAACATAGTCATTTCAGCAGCCAATTGACTTAATAAATGAAATTAATTTACTACAGACAGGATATAGAAGTACACGAGAAAAACTTGGATGGTAGAAGCAATTCTCACAAAAAGTGGAATGGAAAACAAACTTCCCAGCTGCTCCTGGAAGAAGGTATTGTATTAGAGTACACCCACCCCCAATACACAGCTGGGTACAACACAGATAGTCAAAGGCATTCAACAAGCATGTAGAAGTTCTTTCCTTTGGAAAATAAGCAGCCCACAGTAGTAGTAGTATTTTCAATAGTCACTCTCTTTCACTACCCTACACCACATCCCTCAACCAATAGTCCTAATCTTGCCATTAAACACTATCAGTACAATCTGGGGGATGAAAAGATTGAGTACAGCCTTTCAAAAAGGACCCGGGGGTACTGGTGCATGGGAAGCTGGACATGAGCCAGCAATGTGCCCTCACAGCCCAGAAAGCCAACTGTATCACAGGCTGCATCAAAAGAAGCGTGGCCAGCAGGGCGAGGGAGGAGATCCTGGCACCGTGCTCTGCGCTGGTGAGGCCTCACCTAGAGTACTGCATCAAGATGTGGAATCCTCAGTGCACGAGAGACATAAACATGGTGGAGCACATCCAGAGGAGCATCACAAAAATGATCCAAGGGATGGAACACACCTCCTGTGAAGACAGGCTAAGAGAACTGGGACTTAAGCAAGGAAAAGTCTCCAAGGCGACCTCAGAGAAGACTTTCAATGTCTAAAGGGGACTTACAGGAAAGAAAGGGACAGACTCTTTAGCAGGGTCTGTGGTGACAGAACAAGAGGAAATGGCTTCAAGATCAAAGAGAGTAGATTTAAGTTGGATATAAAGAAAATGTCTTATACAGTGAGGGTGGTGAGGCACTGGAACAGGTTGTCCAGAAATGTGGTTGATGCTGCATACCTGTAGATTTTCAAGGCAAGGCTGGATCAGGCCCTGGACAACCTGATCTATCTGTGCACGTCCCTGCTCATTGCAGGAGAGTTGGACCAGATGATCTTAAAATGTCCCAACCCTAAGGATTCTATGATTTCGTGATTTTCTAATCCTCTGCTCAATTTCTCTTTCTTCTATAAAAGGACTTCAGCAATGTTCTTGTAATTTCACAAAAAATCAAAATTCTGGTCACTGTAAGCACTTCAAAATACCAATATGACAGAAATCAATTTTTAAAATTTACTTTTTCCAACACAACTTGGCCCAGCTCAGTGCTGACACAGAAGCCTGTCACAGAGATTCTACTGCTTATGTACCTGCTGTGTAAGGAGGCTGATGTGGCTTGGTGGGGAATACTGACAAGCTGCTTGTTTTTCTGCCAGCTGCTGCAGTTCTGCTGCTACCATACCGGGGTTGTAACGTTTGCCCAGGGAAGGAGCATCTTCTGTACCTTTGTTCATCATGACAGAGTTCACACGCTGCCCACTTGGACTGCGGTGGCGCAAACCTACAAAAAAAAATCAACAAAATATTCAGTCATACTTGGTGAGCAGTATCACAGAATCACACAATGGTTTGAGTTGGAAGGGACCTTAAAAGATCACCTAGTTCCAAACCTCCATCATGGCAGACACCTTCCACAGATCAGGTTGTTCAAGGTCTCATTCTTGAACACCTCCAGGGAGGAGACATCCGTAGTCTGTCTGAGCAACCTGTTCCAGTGCCTAACCACCTTCACAGTAAAGAATTTCTTCCTTATATTTAATCTATATCTATCCTATTTACTTTAAAACCATTTCCCTTTATCTTATCTTATACATCCTGGTAAAGAGTTTATCCCCATCTTTCTTGCATGCTCCCATTAGGTACTGGAAGGCTGCTATGAGGTCTCTTTAGAGACCTTTAAGCTGAACAAACCCAACTCTCAGAATCCTCCTTCAGAGGAAAGCTGTTTGGCTCTGATAATTTTTGTGGTCTTCCTCTGGATCCACTCTAATAGTATGTCTGACTCTCTCAATCTGCTGTTCACACAGATTCAAAAGCAGGTATGACACCTCCTGCGGGTTCTAGAGAGAATACAGCCTTCTATTCTGTGTAGGTTTTCCCTATGTGAGCTTTAATCAATGCTGGAATCACATTCTCTTCAACATAATGTATTTAACAGCACACAGTGCCAGAGAATTTTGGCAAGCTGTTGCACATTTTAAATCTATAATGATTTTCCTTCAAAACAAATGGATTCCTTTAAATAAGCTATGAAATTGGGAAGTCAGATTTATTTTAATGCTAGAAAGTTTGTCACTATAAATACAGCAACCCTAGTGAAAATGTGCTGATGCAGAACTCAAAGCACATTTATAGTACCATTTCAAAGAAAAACACGTTACCAGGACCATGGCTGTTAGCTTGTGTATGGTTCCCAAAACTTTCCGAACAGATTACCATCTGTGTCCATAAATTTCTATTTCTTCTACCTTTCAAAATCCTAACAATCTAAAGTTAAATTGCTTAACTATGTATTATCCCAGAACAGTAAATGAGAAGTGTCTGAATCCACTTAGATCTTACATTTTTAGTGATCTTGACACACCTTTAAGCATTCAACAATGATGAAGTTTGATTAAGAGGCTCCTCTTTGAGAGAAAAATGAGGAAGTAAAAACTGCACTTAGACTTGGGAAGGACTTCTGCTAACTGAAACTACACGGAAATCACTAAAGATAAACAAAACATAGTAATACAAACAGGAAAAAATATATAATACTTTATTTCCCAACTTTTCCAAAACAAGTTCAATTCCCTATTCATCTTCTCAGTAAAAGGGCTTTTTTTTTTTTTTTTTTTTTACAAACAAGGGCTCACACACTCCTCTTCTCCATGAGAAATTTAGCACCATTTGAACAAGACACCAGAAATGTAAAATTCCCACCTATTCCACAACACAGATTACAAAATCTTTATACTGCACTAGCCAGTCTTTATGCAACACAGAACACTCACCTGCTTTTGCAGAGGTTGATCGGGACAGTCTTTGGCTGTAGATCTGAGCAGCTCTCTGAAAAGATGAGAGTGGGCCAATGGTGTAGCTACCAGAACAACGATGTAACCCTGCAAGGCCAGAAGCCTCACTGGATGCTGGGTTTGTGAAGACAGAAGAGCAGTCAGTGGCTGTGCTCTGGCTCTGGGAAGAAGGTAGGGAAGATGAGGAGTGAATTAGCCTTAGACCACTTGGAGGAGTCAGCAATGAACAGTGACCAGGCACCTGTGGATTTCCAGAGGCTGCAGGTTGAGATGGTAACTGGGAACTGGTACTTTTCCGGAACGTGGCACCAGAAGCAGAGGAAGCAGCACTAGGAGGGCAGCACCGAGGTAATTTCACTTCAGCATTTAAAGAGAAGGTGGATCTTTCTGGATCTACAAAAAGACAGTGAGTACTCTGCATGAGAGAAGCTGTTTTTGAGGTCCTTCAGATAATAACAACTCGAGATACCTCTGTTTATAGACTTGCTGAAGACAAAGTGACTTCATCTATGAGTAAAAATAGAGGCAGCTCTATGTGATAAACATCTTCTTTCAAAGCTTGTCATATCTAGATTTTTCCCCACAGAAGAGCAGCTAACTCACTAATACTGCTCACCCTACAGTACCTCTTAAAAGAAAAAGATGCAGAATCTTTCCCAAAACTGAGCGTTCAAATACTTCAGCTTGTACCCACAGATTCTAAAATTTGTTTAAATCTGTATTAAAAACAGCACATGCATTCATTTCTTATTTTGATGATGAATGAAGTTAGTTCACTCACAGGTTGATTTCACTTCTTTGGGTTTACAGTCTCTTACTCTTCCTTCTACAGGCAGATCTGCAACTGAACCTTTGGGTTGATCACCTTTTATTTTTTTCATCACCTCAGGGTGGTCTGTAACAATTAGGAATTAGGAGTTAGAAGATGGAACAGGACTGCAGAATTAAAACCCTGTTATAATGGACTCTCCTGCTAATATTGTAGACCATGAAACAATATGGATCATAATTGTACTGTCACATACAGCAACAAGGACGACTAGAAGTGCACAGCTGATACTGCACTTCCTTCCATGGAATGATTAATTAAACTCAAATGTGAAGACTCCACTCTCCATTCAGAATGATCACTGTAGGTAGCACAACTGAACTGGTCTTGGTTACTCACATCTCTTATTTTGATTACAGGATTTTACATTTTTTATTTCAGTATCTTCAAATTTTCACATTCTGATATTAGTCACAAGTCATCATATCTAGAGTTCCTTATAAAGGCAAGTCCCATGTCATACCACTTCACTGAAAGAAGTTAGGAGTGCATTAACTCTAGTCTTCAAATTATGGAATCACTGACGAGAAAAAAGAAAAAAAAGAAACGAAACACAACCTCCAGAAATTTGAATAACATTCTGGATGGTCTTTTCTTTTTCTACAGACTCAAGTGAAATTGGATTAGTCTGGGCAACATAATCTCAAAAGTGCCTGCAACACTTACCCCCCTGAGGCTGATTCTCTGACTGGTTACTGGTGTTCCTGGGTTTTGTGGTCCCGGAGTTTGTTCCAAGGAAGACACTTGCTGACTTATTTTTTTGTGTGTAAAATGTCAGCACTTCTTCCAAGTCTCTCTCACTACAATAAGGAGAGAAGAAAGGACCTAAATGAAGACTCTAAACTTTTCTCTCTTTATGTAACAATCAAGGAATAAGGAGGGTGAAGACGAAAGTCGGAAAAGAGTGAGGTCACACAAGTTGTTTACATAGTTCTGCAAGGTAAGAGTGGAAGGAAAGGAACGTGCCTCGGTTAAATCAGAAAATTCAAGGAAATTCATAGAATAAATAAATAGCAAAGAAAAATTCCAAACATGCTGAGGAAGATTAGCTCAACAGGAAAGATTCAATTTTTAGCTGGTGAATCTTTCTCAGGTGCTCTTTAGGACAAGCAGCTATCGTATTCATGAGAGAACTCATCTCAGCCTGTTTTAAGGTCATCATTAACTTCACTGTAAAGAGGGGAGGGGGGAGAAGGAAAGAGGGAAGAGCTTGTTAATTAGCCAAAACCCCAAGACAAACAAGCAGAAGAGTCACAATATTTTTGTGAATCTCACAAACTTGCATAGGTTTCTCTGTTATTTTCCAGGTAAGAATAGAGTTTAACTACCTGCGTCATAAGCCTCTATTGGTCCCAAACCAGTATTAGTTACTTAGCCATTCAACTACTTCGTTGTGCAACTTTGAAAAATACATATATACACACACTATGTTTTCTTTTTGCTGTTAACTCAGCATTAGTAAGCATACAGAACACAAAATTAAGTACTGTCAGTAACACTACAAAAAATATAACAGGAATATCAGTTCACATAGCAGCAGTGATAATCCTTCAAAGTGTCCTCTACACATCATACTTGTACTAATCTTAGCTAGCCTGAGCTTTGGTAAAAGCACTGTCTAAAAACTGGCCCCACTGGGAAGACAATTCACTGTTGTCTTCAGAGAATGCTGCAAAGGTTAACTTCTCTCCAAAAGCAGTAAGAATAAAGTAAAGAGAAAACGTAAGAGTGAAGAATTTCTGGTGGAGAGATGCCTTCAGATTTAAGTGAATTTACCAGCACATGTATTTAATTTTATGATGCAATGAGGATGTTTACAAACAATGGTTGCAGCATGTGTATAACTAAACACAATACACCCATGTAAATATCACAGAGTGAATGGGACAATTTCAATTGCATAAAAACATTTATTATCTCCAGAGCTGCAGTCACAGTGCTGCAGAACAAACACTCAAAGTGAAGAACTGTTCCCTTGGCTGCAGTTTGCTGATATAAGCTTCAAGCATAGATCAACGCAGTGCCACTATCAGAGTTCTCAAACATACCTAATGCTTCCTAGGAAGATGAAAAATTATTGCTAAAAACTGTTCTTTATCACTTGGGAAGATGGTCCAGCAAAAATCTCCAGCCCCAGTCTAGACTGTGTATCAGGCCACAATGGCATGATAGCCAGTAACATGAAAACCGGAAGAGTATGTAGTTCTGCCCCAAACAGTCATCTCTTCTAGCATTTTTGGAAAAAAGGAAAATGTCTTTGGAGGCAACAGCCATTTTTGAGACCAGAGATGTCAGAATCAAGAACGTATCACAGGCCTATGTAACCTGCATTTCTGGTGACAGGAGTAGATTGCTATGATAGATGACAGTCACATCCCAAGTCTCGTTCTCTTCTAGAACAATATTCTGAAAGGCAGCAAGTTGGTTGGGATTTTCTTTTTTTTTTCTTTTTTGAGCCTGTAAATTTGTTGTGGTAATGACTCCAATTTTTTCCGCAGAATAAATATCACAGAGTCATAGAATGGCATGGGTTGAAAGGGACTTCAAAGACCATCTAGAATTCTAGCACTCTGCTGTGGGCATGGCTGCCCCCAACCACACCAGGTTGCCCAGGGCGCCATCCAACCTGGCCTTGAACGCCTCCAGAGATGGGACGCCCACACCTTCTCTGGGCAACCTGTTCCAGGGCCTCATCTCCTAACATCTAACCTAAATCCCCCCTCTTTTAGTTGAACACCATTCTTTCTTGTTCTGTCACTATCACTGTGTAAAAAGTCCGTCTCTCTCCTGTTTTTAAGTTCATTTTAAGTACTGGAAGGCTGCAACAAGGTCTCTCAGGAGTCTTCTCCAAACTGAACAAGTCTGGCTCCCTCAGCCTGTCTTTCTAAGAGAGGTGCTCCAGCCCTCTGAGATTGTGACTCCTGAATTTACCTGAGAAGACTTATGTATCACTTACTTCAGATCAGCTACTAAAAAATGCTCTCCAAAGAGACGAAAAGAAAAAGCAATGTAATAACTGAAATACTAAAAATGATGGAAGCAGTAATTGTCAACTTTATTAGAGAAAACTGAAGTGCATTAAAAAGGCAGATGAACTCTACCTGTCCAGATAGTAACAGAAGTCCCTGCCAATATAAGCATATAACATACAGGCTAACAAAAATAAGCCAAAAGGAATCAAATTTTGTGCTCAAGAATCAGAGGCTTAAGGAAGTAATTCTGGGTCACTGAACAATTTTAGACCACTCAACAGTCAGAGGGGCTATCATACCATTGTTTTTCCACCCAGTACTACAGGCCACGAACAATATATACCTATTTTCAAAATGCAGACTCGTCTAAATCAGTCAGATCAAGTTCTGAATGTATGCAGGAAAAGTTGTATTTTCTCTCATTAAAGCAACTGCTTGCACTGAACTGCCTTAGCAAGCCAAAAGGCTAGGGTGAAGACAGACTAACTCCCTTCCTTCCTCTTCTCAGACAGTATCATCCTGGAGGGATCGCGAAGAGAAGTAGAAAGCATGTAAGTCGGCTTCTAACAGACAGAAACTTGAGAGACAGACAATTTTTCAACCACAGCAATTGAAGGCCATCTGAGAAGCTGCTCTAGTTTCATTCTCTTTCCAAATGACTCTTAGTATTACAAGAAAGTAGACCACAATGATCATCAGCGTTAGGTTGGAACTTACTGAGATCAGAGCCACTGTTGTCCTGAGGATCTACTCAATAGTCAAAACATTTATTTTATGTCCTTCTCTACACACCAGATGCTGACTCTACAAGTATTTGGATGTTGGGAGCAAGAAAAGAGAAATCAAAGTTCTCTGTCCATAAGAAGGAGCAGGCACTAAAGTCAGTAAAGGTATCTTAGAGCCAGAGTCCCATTATCTTCAGGACTCGGAGATCATCTACCAAATGGAATAAAATCTGTTCCTACCTTGCTCTGGTAATAAAATTCTGAAAACCTTCAGGATTCACTCCCTCCTCTTCCTCTTCCTGTTTCTTTTTTGATCGCTTCTGAATCATCTGTTCTGTCTCCTGTGAATAAGCAGCATTAGTCTCTCTATGAAGTTATTCTGTTCTGTGGCATAGCTGCCATGCAAAGAAGACAAAATGCATTTCCTTGAGATCTAAGAAAAAAATAGCAACTCCGAAGTTAAATACATTTATAATTTGGTTCTGTGTGCAGCACAGAGAGCCCCAGAGACAGCATGCTTAAATGTACACCAATCTCATTCAACTACTTGACATAGCTTTTTAGAATTCACTTGCTGAAACACTGTGAAAGCTTAAAAAACACATGCTCCTGCTTCAAATATATCCTTTGTTAGGACACAAGAGAGCATGGAGGGGAAATACATCATTCTTTGCAGATATTGGGTCTCCCTTTTACTTTTTCATAATAATGAAACAGTTTTTCATAATAATGAACAGTTTTTCATAACAATTTTTATTTGAACATCTGTACCGTAAGGAGATACTCAGAAAGGCAGAATGACAGAAATGTAAAGTTATATTGCAGAAACTCAATGAAGAATGTTGCAGAGAACATCCACATTCTGTATTGTAAACTAAGAGTTCTCCTAGAGTTAAATTATTCCATCCTGCAGCAAATTGCTGAGGTCATAGCTATATACAAATAATAATCTCCTATAGCAAAAGCGAAGAAAGTAGAACAGTACAGCCTGTGGCAAATACATACTTATACACTATAATATGCTGTAATAAAAGATGATAAACCTTTGTTTGTGAGAATGTGAGAAAGCTATCAGTTATAAATTATCTTCATATTTTACACTGGAAGTTATTGACATTAGAACTTGTATTGAAACAAACACTTTTGTTAATTCAAAACAAACTGAAATTCCAATATCAACATATAAACTTTATTTGACCAGTCTTTACCTCCATTTCTTACTGCTACTCCAAGTTCTCCTAGGACGAAAGGATCAGATACATCTTGTGAAAGATAATTCAAGAGAGAGGGAGAAAAAACTTTTCTGGGCTGTGCCTCTCCTCTTCACTACATAAGTATAAGTCTCGACAATATGTGATCTCTTATTTAGTTTGCTGGAGGCAGTATTTTTTTCTTCTGTGTGATTACAGAAGATGTATAATAACTGCTAAATCTGAAGTTACAAGCAAGTGAAAGAAGTCTGTGTGTTGAAATTGGACATCAAAAGCCTTGTAGCCTGGCAGTCTCACAAAAGTTAAGTGTCTGTGCTCTAAAACCTCTAGTGATCTGTTTACACTTTGTTTTAACTAGGAAAATATGTTTACATATTGATTTATTTTCAGTTACAGTTGCTTTTTTTTTTGCTAATTTACATGAGAGGAAAATCCTAAGGTTTGAATACAACTTGAGTGGAAATTATATCCAAAGCAGTTGTGTTTTTCAGCCACCACAGAACCACCCAAGTGTATTGTAGTTTTCTTAGCACAGTAATTCACTGAGCATTAGGCATGCATGACAATCCCTGGAACAAACTTGTTTAACACCAACCTTGCTTTGACAGATCAAGTTACCAGATGTCAATTCTGACAAGGTACTGTAAGTGAACATCCTCTACTAACAAGAAGGAGCTTGGAGGCCTGTGTGCACAGCAACCTCTGAAAGCAAAATTCAAACTACCCCTGTTACAACACTGAAGAAATGCTAGGAATAAATACAAGGAAAAGGGGAAGGAAGCTGTACTTACAAAACAAAATTACCATGAAATCACTATGCTAAGAAGAGCACATTCTAAATCTAAAGAGGAGAAAATTATTTACATTTGGACTTCTTCTGTCACTGGGCATGTAGAATTCTATACTATAGATGGTTAACATTCCCTCAGTATACCAAATGAATGCTAAAATACATTTCACATACTGTGCTGTATAAAAATTATTTATCTCTATAGAAACATAATAAAAACAGGGAGAAATGGGAAGAGGCCTTATAAAGCACTAAAATCAAAGACAAACCAAAGAAAAAGTGAATTACCAGTTAAATTCTTTCTGTTTTTTTGTCTATGCACATGATTATGGGACTGCACATATTACATAGTAATGCTGTTGTCTATCTGACAATTTGGATAGACAAACTACCACTACTTGATGTGCAACTGCAAACAGGACTGAGTACAGAGCCCTTCAAATAACCTTCTGCTTGACTATGACAGTAACCAACAAAAGATACATTACAGGAAAACAACTGAAATCAACTGTGCTAGTGATAATTTCTTGTACAAGTTAGATGTAAAACATGTACATTTAAATAAAGACATTTCCAAGGGTTCCTCAATTTTAAAAGTCATTAATAAATTGGTAGGTATATATCAAAGGGTGTCTCATGCCTATTTCCTGACCTATAATAACCACAGCAGATGGTGCTGTTAGAACTGAAGGAGTTTAGATGCACTGGATATCCCGCTCTGGTTTTTTTTGCTAGAATATATTGACAAGATCCACTGTGGTGGCACAAAAGCAACAAAGCCTAAAGGTTCTGAAGTAAACTAAATACCTTAGTCCTCTGCTAAGTAGAATAAGCCACCAGAAGAAGAATTAATTCATCACCTTGTTATAACAGATTATGAACTCGCCCAACTGGTGAGCCAGGATACGACGACGATCATTTAGTCCTAAATGACGGCTGGGAAGCAGCATCCTCAAGGACTTCTGAAGATTGCTGGCAGCTCGCTTCAGAAAGTGTACCACGAGCTCCTGCAAGCAACAAAGATGGAGTTAACAATGGATCAGCTGAAAGATGTGGGGAAAAGGGAACAGAGGTACTACAGTAGTTTCTAACTGGCAAAATCTGAAGGTACTGTCAGTTGTCTGTGCATTTTCTCAGGACAAGATCATTTTGTAATATGCGTTTTTAATACAGCCCTACAAACCCTAGACTGTGAAGAAGAAGGATGTCACACCTTGTCTGAGGAGAGACAGAACTGCGGACACATGGTGAGTGTTTGAAAACGAAAAAAAAAAAAGCACAAAGCAGCAACAACATCAAACAACTTATAAAGTCCGATACCTTTGGAGAACATCTCCAAAATACAAACAGTAGCATGTTAAAGATGGCTGGTGATGAAGGGCACATGTTAGCATAAAACCCTCTCAGCATTATCACAATGAAGGGAATCTTGGTCAGGTATCTCCACTACAGTGATTTAACCCTATTTCTTCACTTCTCACATGTGTACATTACCATCAAAGCTTCTCCATAGCATGGCTACATCTACAGCCATGTAATTCCAGTCCCACAACCAAGCAGGATCAATGCCTGTATCCGCACCCCCCCATGGAAGAAACATATGAAAAGACAGATCCTAAGACATGGTGCATCCTGGGAGTGTTTTGAACCCTTTCTGTGTTGCTTTGGGTTAAGAGCACTGCTAATGCATAAACGAGCAGCCTCACATGCTATTGGATTCCACAGTTTGTCTCTCACTGCCACTACTCTGAACTGGTTTGATCTGTTTCTTTTAAATATTGCTTCTTACAGTACAGCAAACAAAGTGACTCTTAAAAACCCAGTTTTAATTTCTCCTTGGAAAGAGCAGGAGTAACATTTTCCACTGAGTTTAACCCATTCCTCCCGACACACAGTTCAGCTTTATCTCTGAACTGTACTGGCTCTTCCCCTGAAACACGCATTCAGCAAGGACATATTTGTTTGCAGAAAGCTAAAGAACCTACTGAACAATGAGGTATTATGAGGGAATCTGAGCTCACTGCAATATTTAAAACACATATACATTAAACACAGGACTTTAACGTACTGCCTAGAGAAACATATCACATGATTTTAAAAGAAAAAGAAAACAAACTAAAAACATCCCCCCAAAACACCTATGCTATATTGTATCTTTCTTTTCTCTGTCTCTTACTTTTTTTTCACTAACCTGAATACATGAAATACACTCCTAAGTACAGATGACTGCAAAGAGTAAAACAGTACAGAAGTGAAAAAGCTTAGCAGGGTACCTGCTCTGTTTGAGTGGATATATATATATTTTTTTGTAATGCAATAGTAGCACGAATTAGATACTGTTAAATAATCCTAAGGAATCTTAGAGGAGTCCTAAAGCAGTTAGGGTCAGAGCTGAGAGATCCAGTGAAGAATCAGGGAAAGATCTAAGCAGCTCAAATGTCAACCACACTTTAGTCATCTAGTCCACTCTGACACTGCTCAGGTGTCAGCCAACATTCCTATCTTGCCTGTATGTTAAAATATAGAACTGACAACTAGACAAAGATAAGTATAATCTCAGAATCATAAAATCCTAGGAGTTGGAAGGGACCTCTGAAGGCCATCTTGTCCAACTCTCTTGCAATGAACAGGGATGTGCACAGATATATCAGGTTGTCCAGGACCTGATCCAGCCTTGCCTTGAAAATATCCAGAGATGAGGCATTCACCACAACACTAGGTAACATGTTCCAGTGCCTCACCACCCTCACTGTAAAATATTTTTTTCCTCCTACCTAACCTAAATCTATTCTCCCTGTTCTATCACCACAGACATTGCTTAAGAGTCTGTCCCCTTCTTTCTTGTTGTTCCCCTTTAGACACTGACAGGCTGCTTCTCCAGGCTGAACAGCCCCAGCTCTCTCAGCCTGTCCTCATAGGAGAGGTGTTCCATCCCTTGGATCATTTTTGTGGCCCTTCTCTGGATGCGCTGCAACGTGTTTATGTCTCTCGTGCACTGAGGATTCCACATCTGGATGCAGTACTCCAAGAGAGGCCTCACCAGCCCAGAGCAGAGGGGCAGGCTCGCCTCCATCAGCCTGCTGATCACAAGGTACTTCTGAACGTCAGTTCTTCCAAGGATTGGAACTGATCTCAAAACTCAGGACAGATTTTAGCTGGGCTTCTCTGAGCTAACACAAAGCTTCTTACCATTTGCTCATCTTCTTTTGCAGCCCAGGCAGCATTCTGGAACTGGTCACCAGCATCCTTCATCAATCGCAGCTGAACATGCTGTAGATAGGCAGAGAAAGCCCTACGAGCCTGCACTTTGCTGTGGACCAAGAGAATCACAGTCAGCTACTCAGAGTAGTAGTGGAAAGAATTACAGAGGAGTATATTCAGCAAGGACTTTGCAGGTGCAAAAATGTTGATGCTTAAGGGAAAGAGAATCACTTCACCCCACCAGTATTTCCAAGGAGATCTTCAGTTCACAAAAATAGAGCACATAGTTCCACAGATTCAAAAGACAGAAGATGCCATCTGACTTCTAAGACCACTTCAAAAAATTTAATGCTCTCCTTGCCTTTTCACAGCCATTGCTCTCTTCCAAAAAGTCAGTATCACAAACACCAGTAAAACTGTATTTTTAAGCCTATTTCAAGGCTCTCCTGGACCTTCATCTTCACAAGCATTTTGAACACAACAACAGACCATAAACTAAAGAGCTTAGCATCACTGCCAGAATTCTAACAAAGGCTATGCAATTCCCATTGGAAGTGACAGAATTAAATCTATGAAAGTAAGCTTTTCCCTTGCTGATCCAAGGACAAAGGCCAGATTTCATTGAGCAAGGCACCACTACTAAATAACAAATATCAGCAAAATCTGCTGTGCAGCTGGCTGAGCATGTTGGGAAGCTGTGAGCACAAAATGAGGAGAAGACCAGGGCGAGACAAGGAGGGATATTGATTATTATTCCTTCACAATAGCAGTCACTTTAGCATATGTGTCTGTTGCAAGAAAAATTGCTGAAAACTTTCCTTTTCCTGTTCAGTGTCATCTTGGCCTAAACCCTCTCCTCCAACTGTTCCGTCAGTCTGTTCTTCCTCATAGTTTCCTCCAGTGCCACCATAAGCTGTTACTTGCATTGCCAAGCACAGTTTCTCCTTTCATTTCATAAAAATGGCTTTAGTGTCAGTGACTGATTCCCCTTCTATTACAGGCAATGTCAATCTTTTCTAAAAAATTATAACATTTCATCTTCAAAAAGAAAAAAATGAGAATCTCACAATCATGAGGTTTTTCAAATTACTACTTTTCTGAAATGGTATTCCAGACCTCACTGTTTCAATAATTAGGAACCTTCTATTACTGTGCAGCCTAGCTTCATTCAGGGACAGTTTGGATTTGCTTTTTCTTTCTCCAGCATTATCCTATGGGCTGGTTTCTTTTGGATGAACAGGCCTAGTTTCTTTTGGATGAAAATGTCATTACTTCAGCTCTCTGGCCTGTTGACCCCATAGCAAAGCTTTTATCAATGACAGATCAGATGGGGCCAAGCCCAGCAACAATCCTAGAACATGAGGTCACTACAAGCCTTACACACTTCTGTGGGGGGAAATCCCAACATCACTGGGTGCTGAGCAAGATTCTGCCAGGAACAGACAGAGCTGACATTCTTGGCAGAAGTCAGTTCTATATATAGGTAGGTGATATTATTGCTATACCCATCCTCAAAAACATTTCAGAATCTTCTGTCATAACAGCAAATGTTCTTGCCAGAAGAAAACCTCAAAACAATTTCCAAATCCATTTGATAATTCATAAATCCTCCCAGAAATTAATCTAAGAAAGCAGATACAAGCAGTAATTTTTTTCCTCTACCTTTGGACACTTTTCACACAGCACAATATTTCTTATATCTGTGTGGGAGGGTTTTTCATTTCTAGATGCAGGAGCACTCCTTGTTCTTCTTAACCATCTGCAAATAGTCACTTTTATCAACTGAATTTAAGGGGAAGATCATTCCTCTAAACATCTCATAGGACCCAGACTGTTATTTTTCTATACAATTTCTTCCAGTACCACCACTCTTTTTCAAGCAGCTGAGTCATCCATCTGAACAATCTGCTCCACAGTCATGCTCAGCAGAAGGCAATAAGACGTGTCAGTAACTTATTGCTCTCAAATGACCTTTTGTCTTGCTCTCAGGAGGTGCAGACTCTGAACATCAGAGACTGCCGTTAGAGATAAAAATTTCATCATCCAAAACATAAGCACAACAAAGAGAAAACTATATTTTTATGGAGAGGTAGCACTGAGCTGTACTTTCCCAGCTTAACATATAAAAACTGCAATTTTTTTGAAAATGCAGAGAATGAAAAGACACATTTTTACAATTGCATAGCAAGCATCTTGTATTAAGACAAAAGCCTTTTAGAAGCCCAAGTTGACTAAAAGTATAACTTATGTCATCATACTAAAGAACAGCAATGAATGCTACAGGTCATGCTTTACACTAATCAAACAGGTCAGACATTTAGGTAAACTGTCAATCTTTGCAACCATCTCCTTTCTGTGTCAACTGTTTACTTAGACAGTTACACAAAAATCCAGGCCCTTTAACCACAGTCTCCTCTAATCTCCCCACTCTCATTCATAGTGGGGCAAGTAAGCCTATATTCTCAATATTTTTATTGACAGTCAAACTCAAAGCAATATAAAGAAATCTCTCACCTTAGATTTCCATTTTTTTTAAGAATCTGCAGCAAGTTAAACTGAGACTTTAAGTCTGTCTTTTCAAGAAATGGCCCTCCTTCATTTCTTGTTTTCTTGTCAAGTTTTTCTGTCAACATCTCCTTACTAGAAGTTTTCTCCAGGTCAGTGAGCTTTGGCTTGCTTTTCAACTGGCTGTTTGAAAGGGAGCCAAGAGTTCTACCTTGTTCTTCATCTTCATCTGCTGCCCCCTCTTCCTCTTCACCTTCTGTATCTGTGAGGGACAGCTTTGTTGATTGTGATGTCCCTATTGAGAAGAAATAATCTATTCTGTGATTGAGGCATGGGCACTGTCCTACTATAAATATGCTTAGGTTTATTCCTGAACACTTCTGCCAGAAGGAGAAAACATCATTTTAGAACAGCATGATAACTATTGCTGCCTTTTATTATTCCTTCTGGCTTTCCATTTACGTAAAGCTAAAGATCTTAACTTCACAAAATGAGAAATAAAAGAAAGGTAGTTTCCTATGCTTCATCCTGACTTTTTGGCAGGCCGTGAGTTCGCATATATGATCATCTTCTGGATTTTTTTGTGACACAAAAAAAAAATCTTAACTTTAACATGTGCCAGTAAAGATCAAATATTTTCATATAGCTCCATATGCCATCACATAACACACAGCCACTCCCGTGGCAGTCAGTATCAGGTAGTTACTAGAAAGAGTCAGATAAAGGCTTAACGAACAGTCACTTGTAAAGATCCTTTTAAGTTTTTCTCACACTGACTTAAATAAAATCTTTCCAGATGCTTAGAGGTGGTTCAAGTGTAGCAAATCTATTCTGGAAGGTCCCAAGTTTTCATCTTTCTCTGAACAGCTGGAGGATTATGGAGACACATACATAGTGTAATGTGCAACTACAAGCTAATATTCAAGAAAACATTGATTACGTTTAATCAGATATGTAGAGATATGAATAGTGGGAATGGAATTCTTAGAATTCTAAAATGGCTGGAGTTGAAAGGAACCTCTAAAGGTCATCTAGTTCCAATATTCCAACATGGCAGGGATATCTGCAACTAAATCAGATTGCTCAAACTCCCCTCTAGCCTGACCTCTAACACGTCCAGGGAAGCGGCATCCACAACCTCTGAGTAACCTGTTCCAGATTCTAACCACCCTCATGCTAAGGAATTTCATCACTATATTTAATCTAAACCTACCTGCTCTTAGTTTAAAATCATTATCCCTTGTCTTGTCACAACACAGCATGGTTAAAGGTCTCTCCTCATCTTTTTTATTCGTCTCCTTAGTAATTGAAAGGCCCTATAAGGTCTCCTTGGAGCCTTCTCTCCCGTAGGCTGAACAACTGCAACTCTCTCAGCCTCTCTTCACAGGAGATCTGTTACACCCCTCTGATCAATTGCACAACCCTGACCATTTTTTTTTTGACACTAAGAAGGCAGGAAGCCCAGAAGAATAATAAAGTGAAAATTATTAACTCATGAAATAAAAACATCAACCCCTGAATTCTCTTAGTGACTACAATAGCTAGAACAACCATTCTAGCTAGAACACCCCATTCACACAGATTTCAAATAAGAAAAACTCGTGTTTTTTGGGACTTGATATTCATCTAACGTTCTCGCTGTGCATACCTGATAACCTTGTTTGTGCTGCTCTAGCTTTGGTACGACATCGCCGGTGCTTCCTTAACTCCAGTGAAACAAGCTTTCTCTCATAAAAGAGAGAATGAGAGTCTACAGCTTCCAGATTCATATCCAGCCTCCCATTAAGATCTTCCCTGGAAAGTATAACAGAGAGACATACTTAAATGCTCTTTATATTTCTCTTTCTGATGGTACAAAGAAACTTGGCCGATTAAATTTCTTCAAGAAATGGTTTTCTTGACACAGGGCAAAAACAATTACTATCAGTCCAGATTTGCTCCATTTAAAGCTTACAAAATTTCAGAGCAAATCTTTCAAGTACTTCACAGAACATCAGCTCTCAAAAGCCCCAGACTCATCTATCTACTGTCATACTTTCACAGCTCAGTAGCATCTCTCCAATATACAGCAGCTCAAGGCACAATTAGTAAGGAAAACTGAATTGAACAGTATGAGTACAAAACAATGGAGGGAGGAGTTCAAAGAGAGCACATGGACCTGAACCCTGTCTGAAAACCTTTTATGTAGACAGCTTCTTCTTCACTGTTACGTCAGAGACAAGAATTTTAATTAACACAGTCTGGGTGGAAATTGTCAGTCTTTCTACAAATTCAGTAAAGGAGAAGGATTTCAGATTCTTTAAGAGAAACAAACATGCTAACTTTCTACCAGTGCAGAAAGATCCAGCAAAATGTTCTTTATAATGTAAGTGTGAATATCCGCAGAAAATTTCCATTGCTCCATTTACCGTTTGGAACTAGCAAAGTAAATACATATATGAAGTTCTGAAACCTCACATATTATGGAATCTTTTAAGAGAGCTCACGGACTGTACTCAACTTTACAGCAGAAATGCCAGAGTAGCAAGCCTAAGAGGAGTGATCTGAAGGTCCAATGCAACAAAAACGTTAATTCTTCTGATGTTGGGACACGGTTTCCTCACTGCATTTACTTAATGAAATTGGTTACGTAAGGTGTGAGCAACACAATTCTTTCCTATTTTGATTGGTTTGGGGTCAAATAGGTGTCGATCCAGGACTTAGAAAGCAAAGCTATGGAAATCTAAATTCAGAATAAACTTTAAAACTTCAAATTATTTAAGAAGCATTTACCGAGATCTTCCCGTGAAAAAGTCTCCTTTCATCTTGTCCCTAAAAAGGGAACAAGGGCAAAAATCACCCTTCATTCTTGATCAGCATCTCTATTTAAAAGCCTCAAAAATCTTTCATATATAAACGAAAAGATCAAATTCATAAAATTTCTTCTTAATCCTATCTTAAAGGAGGATAAAAGACTCTAAAAGAGGAATTGTGAGCAGATGTTCTAAAAATAATGCTTACATTTTTCTAACTCAAATGGGAGATGTCATTACTTACCACTAATCTCTAGAAACATCCCTGAAATTACACAGCAAAGAATCTTACAGCGCAGTCTTACCTTTCTCCTGTAGTAACTTTACTGCAGAACTCAGATAAGAAAAACCGTGGAAGAGGATGGATGCCAAACACACAGTGAAAGTGCATAGAGCTCTCAACTGAAGTTCAACTAGCAGCACAAATCAAAGCATAACCCAAGGAAAGAGGCATCAAATCATGCTTGCATATGCCAAGAGAGAGGGATACTAAACCTCCGGAGTAAATTTTCAGTGTTCACATGTGGGAAAGTTCTGATAGGAGTTTAAATTCAAAACAAAAGGTAAACAAGGACCATCTATAATCTCTTCATGAAGAAACATATGTGCTTGGAGGTTTTACATGTCTAGAGTCATCTCTTTCCTATTCCCATGCCTTTTATGTATTGTCCTCTTTACCCCTGGATTTAGAACCAAGACGTGTAAGAATAAGAAAAATCTCCACAATAACCAGCACACTAGAAAAGTGATGTACAACTATTACTACCCTTTATAAATCACAGATTGATATTTATAACATCGGATAAGTGAACAAACAACGTTTTTCATGCTGTGTGTGTCCTTTGTCTCCCTCCCAAACTCAAAATCATTCTACCTGTCTTGAAACAGACGTGTAGCCAGCATGTAGTTCATTGATGTCTTGTATTCTAAAAAGGATCTAGAAAAACAAAATAGAGGAGGTATCAAGGTAGAGCTCATCATATTGAAAGACGTTATATAGAAAAGAAGTAATCTATAAAAAATATCCCAGAACAAGTTGATTGAGACAGCATGCTGTACCACAACAGAAAAGAGGAAAGGAGGAGAGCTATCAACCCTTAGATGAAGTTACTGATGAGGCAAGAGGCATGAAGAAGCACTGTACACTGGAAAGAAGGAAAAAAAAAAGCATAATATAGTATCACTCACTCCTATATAGAGTTTATGGCCCAATGAGAAAGCACACAGGTACACAGTATATGCAGCTGTAGGATGTAAAAGCAGATAGCAGCAGTAAGTTATTTAAAGAGAAGACATTTTTATTCTGATAGAAAAGCAGTATCAGTATCTATGAAACAATATTTAATAGCTTTCTGTAAGGTGCAATTAGAGAAAGTAGCAATAATAAACAGTAATTCTACCAAAACCGTCAGTACACTCCTGACAGCTGACCACATTAAACTACATAACACAGAATATTTCTCAACACAAAGCATCAGTGTAACACTGAGTCATCCTAATGGATTTTGATACTTACCCATAAAGGTCCCACGTTAATGGGGTAGGGAATATGCGGATGAAACCTCCTCTCCGTTCATTCTCATCTCTCACTCGACGAAGAACTTTTATCTTGGAATAAAAATTAAAGAAAGAAAAAATATATAGCCAGCAAAATAGATACAATGGAAAAAGAACCCTAGAAAAATCCATCAACTTCAGAGCATAAAAATGATATCACTGCAGTCCTTGGGGTGAGCTGGGTATGTATGACATACATCCTTACGTATTTTTATTTTGTGTTTAAATTCCAAAAGGAATCTATCATGGCCTGGGTTCATATCACATATGCTTGGCACAACTAAGGGCAAGAGGCAACCCCAACAATAAAACTCAGCAGTTCTGTCTCCAAAAAAATTGTACTTCTATCATGCTTTTCATACATTTATATGCATTTTGCTCTTTGCTGAGCAAGTTAACGTGTATGGAAAGCATGGTGTGAAAGCCAAGGTAAATAAAAGATATTTAATAGCCTACTTACCTCTTCCATGGAGAGACCTAGCACAGAGCTTCCTTGCCTTCCTGTTGCTTTTTCCCTCCCTGAGGACATGAAGTTTTTCATTTCAGCATCACTGGCAGAAAGAGGACGGGTACGCTGCAGAGACACAGTGCAAACACAAATCTTTCCCTTCCTCTCACAAATTTCTTAATTTTTTTAAGTTACATTCAAACCCCCAGGACTCAATTTCCAGCAGAATCTACAATCTAGAGGACTACAGCCAAAATTCAAGCTTCTGCAGTTCACTCTTTAAAGAATCTACACCCTGGTGGGTACCAAGTGTGAGTATTCATATTCCTAGTTTTTAGCAAAGCAGGACAATTCAGAAGTCACTGCCAGTATTCACATCCCTAGCCCATTCAGGGAAAGCATAAGACATACTCAAAAGCACCCTCAGCCCCTGAGCCCAGAAAGATCCATGCACAAAGGATAATAAAGCCAGTGTTCACATTCATAGTCCCCCAAAAAACACAGGGGTTCATACATCAATGGTATTAGGAACATGATTCTCTGTCCCTGTTCTGTATTCCTAGCATCGCAACACAACTGCAATTCACTGATGAGATGAAGTTGCAGGAAAACTTAGCTCATCGTTATGCATATGTAAATACAAAATGCAAATTCACATATGTATGTAAATTGAAAGAAAAGCGATGAGAAGAGTTGCAGAAAATAAATAATTTTCAAGATAAATCAATCTGATGAGCAGTTGTGATGAATTATAACAAGGAACAGGAATACAAAATATCTCCAGATTAATGGGATTATATGCAGGGTGCTCTGAAAGTAAGGCTTTTTACTTCCATGTAAACCACAACAGACACAAAGAGTACAAGAACTCTATTTGGTAGAGCAGATTCTTAGCTACAAAACACTATTTTTTAACATAGTCACAGCCATTAGATACACTTTTTTTTTCTTTTTTTTTTTTTTTTTTTAAACCAGCAATGAACAAGAGGCGGCTTGCCACTCTTGTAAACATCTACACCAGCAGAGGTTACCCACTGTCACTGCTGCCACTGCTGAAATGCACCACTGTGCTCAAATTCACTATTTGGTCTCTATAAACCTTCAACAAGCATTGATAAATGTCAGTGGAAGCCATTTTTCCCTTGTGGAAGAACTCAGTTCCACATCTTTGCTTCATCCACACTTCTATGTCAGACACTGTTTTGTCAGACTGCTCCTCTGCTGCCATCAGCCACACAGCAAGGTTCAACCTCTACTGCCATACCACCATCTGCATCTGATGTTCTGGGCCAACGTCATAAAACAGAAGGCATTACTTTCAGAGCAGCCCTTGTACAATCTTAAAATTCCAGCAAGACTGAAATCTTTTAAAACATTCTGAAGATCATTTTAAGCTTGTCTTAGGCCCATTTCAGATGAAATGCTTCTGGAGATTAAAAAAAAAAGCATTTAAAGTTCAGCTCAGAAAGTCTCATGCCTTTATATAAAATTCAAACTATCTCTTAGCAGTACACCAAACAAAGAATGTACTAGAGAGCCTTCTTATTTTAGAAAGAAGTGAAAAACACAACTGAAACCTTAACTGGGAAAAGTCCAATGGAATAACCCATACTGCTCAGCTAGAAATCAAACTCATAGCAACACCAGATTTCATTTTTATTTCTAAGAACCACTTGAATCAGAATTGAATTCCAGTCTCACTTCATTATCAATTGCAAGTGGCTGTTCAGAATTCACAGATGAAACAACCACAACAGCAACAAGCATTGCACTAAAATGGGTTATGCTCTGCAGTGACAGGCAGAGAAAATTTCAAAGAAAATTGACATTGCCATTTATTCTGAAATATGTTGTTAATCCTAATGGAAACTGGCTAAATAGAACAAAAGAGAGTGAGACAATTTGAATGAGAGGGGTAGGTAACAAAAGCAAATAAAAGCGTCAGTACACAAACATGTTTGACTGATGCTCTTAGACTAATACCCTCCCACTTAAGGCCATCTCTCTTCGTAAACTTTCCTCTAAGCCAAAAGCACAGATTCAGCAACTTCCTCCTTTAATGCAGGACTCTGCTATAACACAGAAATGCCTCCAACTACACAAAATTCTTGCTTTTGACCCAGCTTATCTTTAGCAGTGTAGATAAATCCAACCACTTTGATTTAATCTCCAAATTCTGCAAGCATCTCTCGTTCCCACATCATGATTTTCATTATACTAATCACTGACAGCAGTTGGCACAAAGATCTTTCCTATTCTCTGTGAAACCTCATTATTCAGTCAGACGTTTTTCTCCCAGTCTTATCTTTTCTCATAGCCTCAGCTAAACTTACATTGAATGACCTAAAATGGCAGCCCATGGAACAAATTTGGATCTCAAGACAATTCCATCTGTGCTACCTTCCTTCCTGCTGGGAAATCACAGAAAATTAGAATGAATCATCACTACTGTGCTAGCTCATGAAGCCCAGCAGTAAAATAATGACTACCAAGTTCCCCACACAGCCAGGTGCTTAGAATTATAATCTAACACTGATTCATCCATATGGATTGCATGGAGGGTGCCAAGACTATTGTACAAGGTAATGTCCAAAATGGCATTCTTTACATTGGTGAAGGAAGCTGAATCAAGTCAAGTACTTACCAGTCGGGTGTTTGTTGGCTGGGACTGTGCAGACACAGGACGCTGCAAGAAACACACAAAGGGAAAAATAAAGCCTTGTACTCTTCAAAACACTATCATCCCTGCCTGCACCACAGAGGAGCAGTGAGTGCCCTAAAGCAAACAAGTATAACTAAAGTCCAGAAAAATAGCTAACAGCTTCTATCACTTTGTTTCAGATCATGCTCACATGCACCACAAAAACATCCTACTCCTGTTTCAGAATACAGCACTAACCCTAACTCAGACATGCTCAACAATCATTAACAATGCATCTGGACATATGCATAATTTCCAAAAGCACACACACACACATACACAAACTCTTTAAATGGATGAAGTCAACTCTCAAGATCAAAATTCATATTTTTGTAAGATAAGAGCTACCTAGAAGAAAATATCTATTAGCTATTTATTGAGAAGAAACAGATACTGCCAAACAGAGCTGTTAACAGAATGGATAGAGAAAAAAATAGTAAAAATCCTGACATTCCAGAAGCTATTTCACTTAAGTATCCACACGTTATTCCAATTTTTGTGGAGAAACAAGATATTACTTAATGTTCTAGTACATATGCAGAAACATGATCAGTATGTCAAAAAGTACCCAATATTACTTAAGGATTCATTTGGCATCAGGTCTACAAGCAGAAGTATGACTGAAAAAAAGCCATTATCATAGGAGCTTAGATTCTTCTTGCCTTTGATGGTATTCAGGCTGCTTTTTTCCTCTCTCGTGCTCAAAGGTGTAAGAAAGGATTCTCAAGAGATATATGTATCATTCATGGTCGTGCTACTGCCAAGTTCGTTTCTATAGTTGGTCTATACAAAACATGCCAGTGTTCATTTATTGCATACAATTAATTGAAATGGTTTCAGTCCAAATCAACAAGTTACAATGGAAACCGCTCAACTGTTGGTTTCTCCAGAGGAAGAAAAGCTCAGAGAGATAAATCAAATGAATTGCACAAGAAATCTGCAGTCCAGTCTTGAAAAACTCATGAAGCATTAGTCACTGTAACCATCTTATGATCCAGAATATTAGTATCAGGCTTTCTTTCCCAGGAAGTGATTTTTCTGACGATTAAAGATGGCCTATGCAGACAATTACAACTCAGAAATCCTGAAGGAATTTAAAAAAATAATATAAAGTAGTCTTTGCAAGCAAGAGTAGGTACAGAAGTACAAAAGATTCAACAGCATCTGAGATAAAACATACATCAAGAGCAGGCTACAATATTCTTGAAGCACAAAGATCTACAAATGTAATTACTCACTGGATTTCCACCTCGGTTCTTAAAGCAGAAAGCTATTCCCAGTAAGCACAGGTGAAGCAGACAAACGTCCAAAAAGAAAATTTGGACTTATCTGGTGATCAGTGCTCTACCATATGAATCTTTGCATTTTTCAACTGTCCAGGCCTTAAGATTCATTTGTAGCCTTCAAGCAAAATTAATCTATAAAACTTAAAACCTCCTGAAAATTCAATGTTTTCTAACAGCTCAATTTTCTGAGACTACAGAACCTTGTTTCAGATAAAAGATTTCAAGCAATCATGATCTGAAACAGTTCTGTGAGAGAAGGTCACTTCCTTCTTTTGGAGTGGTTCTTTCTTTATCTGACATACCTGCCTGCCATAGAGAGCCCCTTTATGGTGAGAGGTATCCATAAAACTGACCTTAGAAGATTTGGGCTCAGACAGGTTGAGACAGGTGCTCAAATGTCACCTCACCAACTATTCACCCCTCTCCCTAGTGACTCAAAATTTCAAGTTTTTCAAGAAATGCTGCAATTTTTATAAATTTTCCCATTACCGAAATGGGCAGTGTATTGGTAATCTGTCAATGAATGCAAATGACTTTTTGTTTTGTAACTGAACTTGAGTTAAACAGCCATTCTGCACATAACTCGTAGGACAACATACAAAAGCTGCAGAGAACACCCAAGATAGACTTTTTGCCTACTTTCCTCATAAGAAATTCATATGAAAATTCGAAGCAGTTGGGGGATCTCCCTGCTTCTTGTGGTTGCTCCACTCTCACAGATATTTATGGGACCCACATGGTGGCAGAAGACACCTGCTCTTCACCATTACAGTGCTCAGAAAGTGCTATCTCAGCAGAAAAGGTAATAGACAATCACAGAAAGCCACATGAGGTGGCTTTCAAGGATCCAAAGGAAAGGAAAGGAGAAATTCCACAATTATATGGGTAAGAAGTTTTAAATTGCACATGCAAAACCCCTTTCTGTCAAGAGAAGAGAAGAGAATGTCTTCTAAGACATTCATAAAGCTCTAGGATTCTGGAAGCTTGTTGTTCACAATAAAATGGAAATAGCCATGCAGCCATAGCTCACCTGCATCCTGAGGCTTTTCTGTAGTTCTAACGGAAATACAGATAACCCCACCTACTGAAATGGTGTGAGTTGGAAGGCACCTAAAATATTATCTAGTTTCAACACCCTTTCTAGGAGCAGCTAGGAGCATCATCCACTAGATGACGTTGCCCAGAGCCTCATCCAGCCTCGCCTTGAAGACCTCCAGGGATGAGACATCCACAGATTCTCCAGGCAGCCCGTGCCAGTGTCTCATCACTCTCATCGTGAAGAATTTCTTCCTAATGTCTCATCTGAATCTACCCTCTTTTACAGTAAAACCATTATCCTTTGTCATTTTGTTACACTCCCTGAGTGTAACCCTCAATTTCTCACCTTTTAGCCAAATTCAATGAGAATTACTTTACTGCTACCTTCCTCAGCTCTGGCACGTTGAAGTCACTTACCTGCAGCTTCTGGTATGGATTTCTCCTGACAGACTCAGATGAATGATAAACAGTCCGGTTTGATCGCTGGCCTGGATCTTGACATACAAAGCCTGTAGGGATCAGGACATCAGTGAGAGCTTATAGACAGGTAAGCTCTGAAACACAAACCTAGCATTCCTGCTAATAGTCTCACTCTGTACGTACATAAGCTTCTTGACACTGCTTATGGATCAAAAAGGATGCCTTTTTTTTTTATGCCTAGCATTGTATAATTCCAATCTTTGCACATCACATTGCGCACTGCATTTGGAAAAGAAAACAAAGCTCACTCCAGAAACAACTACTTAAATCAGTAAGTTGGGCTGCTGAATATCACATACAGGCTCCCTCCCTCAAACAGCTGAGCAGTCTACTTGATGACAATTCTATCGCTTCTAGCAATAGAGGCAGGTTGCTTAAGTAACTGAACCAAGATGTACTACCAATGCCTAAAGGTGCTGTGCACTAAAAAGTCATGCAGTGTTCACAGTCTTGGCTCCATTTCTACAGAGCATAAACAGAACTCACACATTCAACCTCAAAGTACACATATACTGATTCTGAGCACTAAACAAAAGCCAATTGCTTAAGACAAAAAGAGTATGTCTTAAAATATCCAAGTTTCAACTCTTAGTATCGCCTAAACACAAACAGCTAGATTATTCACATGCTAAAGCTGAAATGTCACGTATAACTTCCCAGTGCTAAACACAGTGGTTCTCCTTAACTAGGATGTTCCTCTGTTATAGTCATCTAATAACCTATCATGCTCTCTAACATGCAGCTCATTAACATACTTTTTATCATTTTTAGATGAGATAAAGATTCAAGAAGCTCTTTGTTACACTCACCTACAAGGGTGAACATATCTGAGAGCATGCTTGCTTTGATCTTGAGGTCCAAAGGTGCATCGCTACCCCACATACAACAGAGAACAAGAAGAAATATTTGTCTGGTATTCAATCAGAGAAATACAACAGTAGACAAGATCCACCGTGGTAAAATTTCTTTGCATTAGATTCTTAACCTAGATGTAATCAATATGCAAGGAGGCTCACACACATTAGGTAACCACCAAACAGCAACAGATTCACCTATTTATGTTTATAAACACTACATCTATTGATTTTTTTTTTTTTAAAGTTTACACAGCTTTTGTCTTCCAATGCAGAAATGTCCAATCTTATTTTACTTCTGTTTATGCTGCATTTCATAAAATAAATGTTTCAGTCAGAATTCTCAAAAAGAAAAAAAGAGACAGCAATCTATGCCTTTTCCATGTAAAATCATGAATCAGATGGGTTAGCTCTAATGCATGGGAAAAATCAATTAGCGAACGTGAAAGACATGAACAGATCAGATAGGAGACAAGTGATATATATCCATAATTTTTCCAATAGACATCAATGAATAAAATTCAGATTAGACAAATGAAGTTAGATTTCTTGGGAAGCAGAAAAATCAACCACTTTTTACAGTACAGTGAGAGACAGTAATAAGTTGGAGAAAAAGACTGGCAATCATAAAGCAAGGCAAAAGATGCATACATGAGGTAGAGTTTTAAAATGTAAAAATAATCCACTGTGTACATATGAGCACAGACCAACAGGCCTGGAAATTAAATACAGTGGCACCTGTAAACTAAATGGGTACTGTGGAAGCTTCATTAGAATATAAAGGTCAGAGTAAGGGCCAAGACAGCACTCATATTTTGGATTTCAGTGTAAGAATACTAGACCAAAAATGCAACCCCAAGAATACATTTGCATACACAAGTCTCATAATGGCTGAACTCTGCTTTGACTCCGAAATCTTAAAGTATCTGCTTGGCCAAACAGATTGAAGTCCTACACAATAGTCTGGAGAGCTTCAAGTTTTTTTCTATGATGGGAGATTATGAAGTGTTAACAACAATGATGGACTGTAGAGGAGAAAGAATTAAAAAGAAAATGGAATCCCAACTGTGTTCTTTCAAAACCTTTTGCTGCAGTGAGTTTATTTCTGCAAAGGGAAAAGCAAATAACTGTTCCGTCAGCTGTTAGCAGTGGAACAAATACATCACAGACCTCAGGAAATCATGCTGTCCTAGGAGCACAAGTTGCAAGGCTGACCATCTTCAGCAACAGACCACAGCCTCAGCCTGGAAATCACTTACCAGGCCAGTGATGGGGATAGGTTCACTTCCAACAGCCAGGGCTTGAGAGTATCATCAATAAGGACATCAAAGCCATACAGCTCTGAAAACATAGCAAGCATTGTAAATTTACATTGCAGCACCTTTAAACATCTAGAAAAACTCAACACTAGTTTATATCAGGTCATTTCTATCTACATCATTTATGTGAAATCCAGCTAACTCTGTAGGGCTGAGTAAGTAACATTGGAAAAGTAGGAAGCTTCACTCCCTCAGAATTCAAATTAAATGTACTCTGTAAGGAAAAGAGAAAAGCAGAAAATGAGTCTAGGAAAATGTTATATAGAAAAATTAACACTCTGCCATCCACAAACTTCAAGTCATGCAGAATTTGTTTTTACACAGAGTTTACACAGGGCTTTTTTCATTGGACCCCAGAAACAACAAAACTTTTCATCCCCACATTAATTGTTCCAGTCAGCTACAGAAAATTGTATCTTTCGAGCATCAGCATCTTTCCAGTTCTTCCTGTATGTTTCTCTGCAGTATCCTCACAAGTATAAAGGGGTGTTCTCCTCTGCAGCTCCTCCAACATAGATTACCTCCCACAACTCTTTATCTCTTTGACAGTTTCCCACTTTACAGTAAATCACTGTAGGAATATTAGCTTCTAAAATGTCTCCCTCCTTCATAACATATTACATCTGCTAGATGTGTTCTGTGCAGGTCATAATGAAGCCAGCTTCCCTTTCCAAGATGGATTTTACTGTTTTGTTCTATACACAAAATCTCTCTAGTTTGGACTGAGTTGCAAGAAGACAAAGACAACTGTAAATCAGAAGTTGGCACTAATGCAATTTTCTCTTCCAGCATTGAGAAACGTATTTAATGACTCTGTGTGCAACTTATGCACATTTTTTCAAAACACCACGGAACAGGGTATTGGCAGAGAAGAAGGATTTCCATGGAATCAATTGGTTCCCTAGTTCCTGAAGTGGAAGCTGAAGAATTTATTTGCCATGCTGCTTCCCTTAAACTCTGCTGCTGGCCTTTTGTCGCCTGCCTGATGCTCATGCTGGCTCCAGGGAACTGGACTGCCTGACAAGATCTTCCTAAGCGGAGATCTGTATGAGAGCTCAAGTAGCTTATGATAGGAAGATAAAGAGCTACAGGGAGGGACTTGGAAGAGGAAGAAATGGCAGTAGGATTTGAGAGTGTTGCCTGCTCACTCTTCTAGACACCGTAGCCAGAGAGTGAGTAGAAAGCAAAACAGCAGAATTAAGGAGTTGGTTCATTCCAAAGAAATGAGGCTGAATCTACATTTGGCTCTCTTGCTCCCAGACTGGAAAGGCTGCATTGTAGGAAAAACGAGGAGGTTGGGATTATGGGAGTAAACGTTTACAAAGCATTTTGTCCAAAAGAAACCTCTGATGCTTTTAATACGTTATTTCAAAAGACAATTCCAGGTTTAGTGAAGACCTGTGACTATTACTGCATGGTACATTCCAGTGGACAGGCAGTTCATGCCCAAGACAGAGAAGCAATGAGTGGGCCTACAACAGCTGCTGGCCGGCAACCTCTCAGCTCTAGTCAGGAAGCAAAGCATTTTGTTTTGACTAGCTTACACTTCTTTCACTGCTGGCCATTCCCTCCCTCCCTTTGCAAGCAATCTAGCTTCCTCTGTCTTTGTCATTCTATTTCACACCTTGCTGCCTCCCTTCAATTGCTTTTTAACCCTCCTTGTTTCCCACCCCAGTAAATCCTAATTACTCACTCCCTCAATCCACTGTTGCAAATACATATAGAATACCTTTTGGTTTTAAGTTGAGGGAAGGGAGATTTAGGTTGGACATCAGGGGGAAATTCTTTACAGAGAGAGTGGTGAGGTGCTGGAACAGGCTGCCCAGAGAGGTTGTGGATGCCCCGTCCCTGGAGGTGTTCAAGGCCAGATTGGATGGAGCCCTGGGCAGCCTGGTCTAGCTTTAGGTGGGAAGGTTGGTGGCCCTGCCTGTGGCAGGGGGGTTGGAGATTTGTGATCCTTGAGGTCCCTTCCAACCCTGGCAATTCTGTGATTCTGTGATTCTGGCCAATCCTTGGCCAATCCTGACTAAACTCTGCTGGTAATTCCATTCCCTTTTGAGTACTTTGTTTATCAGGACAGTAGAATCCTCAGGGCAACACCATTGGCTTCATTTCATTGATAAACACAGGTATCTCATGTCACCTGCAGTGCCTTAGAGTCTCCAAGCTAGACTCCACAGCCACTCCACAATGGTTAGAAGTCTCCTAAGCCATATCTGCAGTGCCTAGACAGATGTGTTTGCTACTTTAGGGCGTCAGTAGCAAATTATCATCCACATTCTGACAAATGTATCAGGTCCCCATACTGGGCATAGCACAAAGGGTTCTCAAGTCTGGCTGAAATTAATTAGGAAGATTAATTACCTATATTCACAATTATAGTAATGTCTTCTTGGCATTCTTTCACATGTGGAAAATGCACAACCTTGATTAAAAACAAAAGTAGTAACCTCTCACTTTGAAACTCAAAACTATATGTAGGCAAGCTCAAAAAATGTAGAATTGCATAAACATAGGAAAGGCCAGAAGTATAACCTCTGAAATTACCAGTTTCAGCAAGACTGACACTTTCTTCTGAGTGAAGAAAAAGGCCAAAAGACCCGTTGCTGCATCAAGCTGCAGTAACAGTAGATTTACAACAACTCTTCTTGCACCACTGTTCTTATTAAGAGAGAAGAAGGGGAGAAACTACGATACCAAGTTTCCACAGTGCCTTCTGTCACTCCACTCACCTCGCTGCTATGATCCACAAAAACGTTTCATCCTTTCAATTTGCTAGATTAAAATTACATCAAGAGGTACTGGCTATTGCCAAGATTCAGCAAGAACAGCCTCTATCCTCTCATTCCCATTAAGAGAAATCACTGAGACCAGAGCATCCCAATCCTCCCAAGAGAAGTGCTAGCTTTAGACTGAAGTCTAAGACCAAACAGTTCAGTCAGAGATAAATGTTTATTTTTTAGTTTTTAATGAATGTCATTATTTAAAGAGGAAGGCTTGACAAATTTTCTCAAGCTTTTGGTTCTAGTAAACTACCATATAGTCAAAGTTTGGCTTATATTCCTGCCAAAGACTGCACTGGTTCTCCCTTTTAGAAAATATTCCCAAAGAATTCGCTATTCTCTGTTAAGTCTTGCAACCAAGTCACAAGTAATAGCTTGCAGCGCAAACAATGCTTTCATGATTTTGCTCAGAATAAGCTCAACTGCTAGAAGGTCACTGTAATTCTGGTCCTTGTTCTCAGCTCACTAGGGAAAGAGCAGCAGCTTTATTGCAGACGAGGTTTTCTGCAATTTAATGGAGGCAACCTGAAGTTAAGAAGTGACACATACACACGGAAAAAAGTTGCAGAGTATGCAGCTCTTCTGCTTTTGCAACAAAGACATTGTCTCATTTTAAACAGGCACATCTGAAAAGACACTCCTACTGATTTTCAGCTGAGCTCTGGCTTCTACCTCAATCCATTAGAGACCACTTACAGCTACAAAGTGACTGTAGTCACACAGTAAGGAGAACAGTGAAGGGACAGACCAGCTCCTACTGAGTTATCACTAGAAGACATACTGCTCAAATATTTCTTACCATTTAGTTTCAAGCTGATAGTTTCAGTCAAATTTGAAGATACACATATACTACAAAAACTACCTTAGTACATTATAATCATCATTAGGAGACCCATCCAGGATGGTACAATACTCCTGAGACTGATGAGAGGCAGAAGATGCTGAGGACAATCTTCTTCAGATTCAAAATGGCATCTTTACATACTGGCTTTACAGCAAAGACTGACAGCAAGGAGATAAAAGTAGAATGGATTAAGCTTCACAGAAAAAGAATACGTGTGGGGAACAGTTGTTCTGCTTTGGCTTTGTCATATATCTTAATCCAGTTTCAAAGATGAAAACACATGCATGTGGTATATGTAAGGCTGACCTAAGCTTCCAGGCAGGGACTTTCCTAGAGTAATATCAAGCAAGCATGCGCAGAAATTCCTTAATAATCTCCAATTTTCATATCCTTCAAAATTCTTCAAAGATGAGGCCAACACCATTCAATACTAAAAGTTGTTAGCACTCTCCCAAACAGATTAATTGCTACTGCTTGGAAAACTAAGAGTTCACAAACAACGGTAATGTAGATGGTTGAAGACTGGTGATTAAAAATGAATAAAGGCTTTTTATTCATTTAGCTCACCACACAAGTAGTACAATCATTTACTTGCTCTATCCTGTCTTGATATAAATGAGATTAGAAGCATAAGTCTGATCTATTTAGCCTTAACACAAAGTAGAGGCTAAACAGGACATTCAGTGCCTTGCTGGGATCATGTACATTACCCTACCCTGCCTTGCCTTCTTGATTGCACAAGTGCTCAACAGTGTCACTGCTGAGTTGACCAGAGCTGGGAATGAAACACAGGACTTAATGTTTTGCTTCTCCAGGCTCATATGGCACTACACAGGATGCTGGTATGAGTAAATCCTGCTCTCAGCTGTCTTCATTTCGTCCACCACTAAACAATCCTACACAGAGTTTTCAAATTGCTTGAAAGCAGCTCACACTGTCTTTTCTAGTCCACCCAGAAGTGCCTACACCAGAAGAGAACAAAGCAGTCTTTAATCTGCTTGAGCACATGTATCCCCATTGCATCTCCTGTTCACACTGATATATCATGTCTTTCAAAGTCAGTGCAAAATCCAGTTTTTATTTGAAGAAGGCTCCACCAGTAACCAATAGCTCAACTGGTTAAGATTTTTTACCTGCAGCTTAATTTTAAATAAGAAAAAAAAAAAAAAAAAAGAGTGCTGAGTTCACACTTATTACCAATGCATGAAGAAAGCTGCAAGGAAGCCATGTGGTACTTCACAACTTTATGATGCAATTCAGAGGAACAAAACTACTGAGCATCCAAAGTCCTTTGAGAACCAATTATTAGTAAAGTGCAGTTAACAGCTCACACTACATGGCTAAAAGGGAACTCACTACAATCTTTCTGCAAATATTCAGCAGCATGCCACTTTGACATTAGAAAGAGAATCACTCTGACCTACTACTCTCACTTTTTATGCAAGCAAGGGTAGCTGGAACCATACAGACTGCCTCACCAGTCTTGTTTTAGAACATGAAGAAGCCATGAATGAAGTCTCTTCCCTTAAATCTAAAAGACAAGTATATCACATTAAAAGTTTATTGCAGGAGTAATAAATCACAGCAGAAGATCTAAATTATTACAGAAATAAAGTGGAAAGCCTAATCTAAGCAAATTAAGTACTTATGATACAATTTTTTATCAGGAAGGTGGTAACTGTGCTGGAGTCCTATCTCCCACAACAGCATTACAAGTACTGGAATAAAATCAACACATCAAGTTACTCGTGTTTATCGATAATATTTTGAAATAAGGCCTACATCTGTATCTGTACTTCAGATACATGTTTTATAAGTGTGAGGTACTCTTTAAATTATCAGCCTCTCTCAGGACACACATGCAGTTTCATTGTTCACAGCCCAGAGGGAAATAAAAGGCTCCTCGGAGCATCTGCATGCGAACTTGAAATCTTCATTCCCAGTTTTCTTCCTCATGTTAACAGCTACTAATTCAACTATTCTGAACATTTCCAGCGAGAACAACTGCCTTTTTTGTTTGTTTTTTCAACAGAGTCAAAAAAGGCACAAACAAAGTGACACAGGGATGAAGAAAAAGCCATACAGCATGACAAGGGAAGCTCAAATCCTTGGGATAAGGACCACCACTTAATTGCGAGGGAAGGTGGCAGAAAGTACAGAGCTCTGGAAATGCCTCAGGCTCCCTAGGGAAGCAGCGTGGCTCCTACTTAAGCTCTCTTTCCTGGGAAGCTCTAAATTTATGTTTACATTGAAAGAAATGGAACAAAACAGTTTATTTGTGGGGGAGCATCTGAGAGGGTGGTTAGTGCAGCCCTGGGGAGGCAGCAGGAAGTGGGATAACCTCAGAGCCAGGCCCAGCAGAAAGTACATGAGGAACATGAATCTCCACATACACAGCTCGCTGGAGTCTAGAGACACAACAGAGAGGAATATAGGAGGGGAAAAAAAAAGAGGTAGTTAAGACAGTTTTTTATTGTTTGTGTTTTGTTTTTTAATCTAGCTGTTGATGTTTCTGGAATAGATCTATTACTTCACTGAAAAGACCACCTAACTCAAGTCCCCATGTATGCTAAAGCTCTCCAACTTTGAACAAAGGCATCAGAACTACTTTGGGGAAGCTAAGAACAGAGAGGTAACTTAGCAGGTCACTAACATATCAGCCATGTGTCCTCCTTGGATTTTCACCACCCCTAAGAATCCAAACATGACAACATTTATATTAGAGTGTAGAAAGCTATACAACAGTAAATATTCAAGTGCAATGCAAAGACCACACAAATGGAATTACCTGTCACAGCTAGTTTAAACATAAGGCCCAACAGCTAAACATAGAAGCTGAAACATTCTAGAGTCTTCTCCCCTGCCCCAAGACTGCTCCCTTGTGTGTGCATCTGCGTGAGCAAAGGGCAGCTAAGAGCAGGAGGAGGCCTCTTCAGGGAAGGTTGGGAAGCAGCCACTGGAAAGCAGGAGAAGGCACACTGTGGTACCAGCCGCTGCTTTCTGGACCTTTTCCCAGCATCTGCTGCCAGCGAGTTCTCAAAGCCCTTTGCCAGCACATAGTTCTGCATCCATCTACTGCCAGAAATAAGCTTCAACGCCGCCCTGCGGAACTCTCACACAAGTACAAGCCCAGAAGCATTACCAGCACTGCCATTCCAGGAACTGCATTACACATCTCTTCCTTAGCCATCAGACCCGTGTAGGACTATAAATCAGAAGTACATTGAGCCATCTAGCCCAACAGAAAGCATTACGCACTCTGAAGGGATATTTAATTATCCGTAGCCATCCTTTGCAAGGGCTAGTGGGTCAGTTATTTCAACTTTCCAGCACATCTCCAGTTGCCTTTCAAATCACTTTTCATCATCCTCTTTTTTAGTATGAGACTTTCATGAATGACACTGGCACAGCGGCAATTGCAATTCAACAACCTCTGGCCCCAGAGGCCTATAGTGAGCTGAAAAACTGAATCAGGCTTCCTTGCAATAGGAAATGCAAGCTTCCCTATAGCACTGAAAAGATGCAAGTTTCAAACAGTCAAAAACCAATCAACACAGATGTCCCCAGTTCCTTACCAAAGCAGCTGCCACGATGTGAAAGAAAAGTTTTACAAGCTGTAGCAATGGCCAGCTCGGCAGAAACTACGGTCTTGATAATCAGGTCTTCCACACTGGCCATCAGTGCTGAACAGAGGGAAGAGAAGGGGAAAAAAAAAAGTAGACTGTGAAGCAACACACCATATCTAGAAAAACATGAGTATTTAGACACAGAGACAGATACCTTTGTGAATCAAAGTTCATGCGAGCGTATGAATGACAAAGCAATCTTTGGAAATCCATGCAAGCAGTAACACATACATGCATTCATAACCTACTGCAAAAATGGTCACAAGTGAGTATGATACAAGAGTATAAGTACAATGCAAGTAAGCAGAAACATGTGGCAAGCACATCAACACAAGTCAGCTGGAGTCTGATCATTGCTCTCTCAGGGCATTAGGAAGGATTAAGCAAGAGTGTATTAGCAAGGTAAGCCTTTAAACCACAGCCACTAAAATACAAAATATTTTTTTGTTGTGGACTTCCATGTAATACATGTTCCATGATATTGCACCTTCCTCTAAAGCAGCTGTTCCCAGACTATGACTTACAAATTTTTTCAAAATGATACAACTATTGACAGCTCCCAGTCCTATCTATAACCTGCAGCTTCAGTTACAAAGCTCTCCCTGGCTCCTGTATAAGCCCACAAACAGAGCTCAGAAATAAGAAGCAGAGTTGAAACAGGGAGCAAAAGGCAGGAAAAGATGCACATTAGATAGAGACCTGGATCCTACACTCAGTTTGGGATCAATCATGCAACAGAAAGAACACAGTTTCTGTTTTCAAGGACAAACAACAGAGGAGTGAGAGGAAGGAGCAAACATTAGAGTCCTAGTCTGACAATCTATAAGGATGATAGCATAACCTCTCTCACCCCTCAAAAGGAACACAAGCAAACACATCAAAACCTCCAGCAAACCCACACAAACATTTGGAAATCCCTGTCCCAAAAAACATCCAGTACCAATCACTTGACTAAAGAGTTTGTTTTAGACATACAATTACTATTTTTTGTGTTTAGCTGATGACATGCAGGGACCTGAATGAGCATGCAAGCGAATTCAGATGTCAGCTTCTCTGTCACAGGAAGCCTAAGTGGAAGCAACAAAGCATGGGAATATAAGTGCACATAAACATCTCAGAGCACAAAAAAATTGCCAGCCCAGACAGAATCAACACTTTCCAGCCAGAGTTCTGCCTTCCTATGACCAGAACCAGATACATCAGAGAAAGGTGCAAGTAGTTTTGTAACAAGAGTTACAGAGAAACCTGCCCACATTGCTCACCACTGTACTTAAGAGCACGTCTTTCACATGAAGAGGGCAATGGAACAGGACTTATCAATATTAATAACTACATCTACAGAGCTGACTGAAAATGTATGGTATAAGTAATCAGACAGGCACGCATACACGTGATGGGGGAAAAAGTCTACTTCCATCTGAAAGCCAGATTCAAGCCCCTTCCTACACCATCTAAGTATTCCCTGGCAGCAGTTGCAGGATGGGCACAGCTGCTATCAGTAGTGTAACTGATGGCTCAGTATCACAGGTAATTTATCACTTAAAGGATATACCTGGATTCTGCTCTGCATATGCATTTACTCCCAGCAGACCTGGCAAAGGTGGGGAAGAGGGAGCAACTTTATATGAAACACAGACTGAAATGAAAACACTCAGCAAAAACCTGAGCCATGGAAAGATGACACCACATCCAAGAGTCATTCAAACTGGCACAGCTCTCCAGAGGTTGGTCACTCATCAGACTGAACAGGCCATGGGAGCAGTAGAGGGAGGGAAGCTTTTAGAAGGGATGGAATGACCTTAAGAAACGGGAAATGTAGGTAAAAATATTAAGAAACACACCCTGTGAAAAGCTCAGAATACTATTTGCAAAAGGGAAGGAGACAGGCCTTACCTCCGGGGATAGGACTCATCTCTAGGGATAGAGAATAAGTGCGCAACTCTAGTGAGAAAGCTGTAAGGAACAACGCTTCCCTCCACCCTGCTCTGATGCTAAATGGGATTCATTATGGCTCTTCCCTGACTTCTTCCGATTCGCACTTGTGGGATGATTAAGATCTAACGAAGGAATAAAACAATACAATCTCTACTGACCTGCAGTGTCTCTCCCCTCTTGTTTTAAGTACCTCAGCATTGCGCTCATGCTCCACTTATTTCCATAATCTTCCACTTCAGGATCATCACAGCTAAAATAAACAAGTTAAGTTTACACCAATGGCATAACTGAGGACTAATACCAACCTTAGACCGAGGTAAGCTGACCCAGCTTCTAGAAATTAAGTTCCATTTTTCAAGTACCTGACATAATCTCCACTCTTCTTGTTGACACTGTAGTTGGTCAGATGCATAAATTGGTTTTTAATGTTCTTAGATGCCTGGTCATACCTCACAGTTGCAAACCTAAAAAGAGGGAAAGGATTTATAGTGTTTCTGGAACAAGCAATACGATTTCCAAATACAATCTATTACACAGACCATTTGACTCCAACATCTAGGGAGAGGACATAAGCAACATGACTTCATCAAATGCAACCTCTCCCGACCAAAATAAAATAAAATACAGTTTAGGGCCACATTCAGACACATTTCATTTATTTTTTAAGTGTCTTACAGCAGGGAGCTCCATTTATTCTCTTGGGAGTTTTCCAGACCTAACAGTATACGTGCTAGACACATTTTTTTCTTGGCTGCTTCAATTCAGGCCGCTTACCTTTAGTGCCACAGCCCCTCCAATTTCACACTGGGAACTACCATGGATATGTAATATCCACAAGTCCTGGGAAATGCATACACACATATAGCAGGTATGTTACATGTGCATATTACAGCTAATATTCCGTGAAGTCTCTTACAAACACAGCTGAGTTCTTCTGTACTCCACAGATGCCTTAGGAAAGGTTGACCATGGGAATAGACTTCTATCACTGCTGACTTTAAGTCCTACAACTGTCAATCATCTTTCTCAAGAATAGGTAAGGAAACGGGGACAGAACTTGCAGGCCAGATCAATTTGCCCAACAAGGCAGCATCTGCTCCAGGCTGCTGGGGACTATGCAACCCTTTCATATCCCAAAGATGTCATCTGACTTGCGCAGGAGGAAAGGACAAATGGACTGCAATCAGGAGCAAGTCACAGAACCACAGAAGTCACTGCTACCTCATTCAGCTCGTTAGTCTGAACCCTGTTACAGTCAGCAATACCACAGTTTAAGCAGCCTAGTTTTTCAATCAACATCAGTGGTGACTTTCTAATTAAAAGGCATTAATTACCTGTACTGCAACCAAGTAATCCATTAATGCCCTCTTAGCCATACCTTGTCATGAGAGATGTTTGCACTGAAAGAACCAAAGAACTGATCCAACTGAAAAGGACAGGTTTTAGCTGGAGAGATTGTTTTTTATTTTTTATTTTGCTTTTGTTCTGGGAATGAAGAAACAGAGAGAGCAGTAGAGCATATAACTACAAATGGAGCCAGTAAGAATTTTTTTTTTTCAGAAGCCATATTCTCTTTGCTCAGCTTCACTTTATCTACACTGGTAAAAGAGTGAAGAGTGTCTGTCACTGCACAGCATGTCACCTAAAAACAGCCTTTTTGCACCGAGCTGTTAGCAAATCAGATCAGTTCACCATGCAGAAAGGCTTGGGGTAAAAGAACACAAGGGACAGAGCTAGCCCCAAATGTGTACAGGAATAAGGCACAAAATTGCACTCAATCTTATCAAAAGCATGCTTGTTTAGGAAGAAGTTAACTGAATGTTGACACAATAGATGTGTTTTGGGGAGGGAAAGGAGCTTCCCACAACAAAGCTCTAGAACAGCTGCCCAGGCTGCTCCTCCATCATAGCTCATATTGTGCAGCCAGAGAGGAACTGATCACATACCTCTATCAGGAAAATGTCAGCAGGAAAATGCAAATAGCAGCCAGGAAGAGTGCAGGACTGTTTCTTCTGACGGCTATGACAGTTTAAAGCATTTAAAATTGCATCTTGGACAGAAGTCACATTCTAAACACGTAGCTGCACGATCAGTCTTAGCCAGTCTAAGAATATAATGCACCTAAAAGCTCAGTGCCTGCTCACATGCATGTTCCAGCCATTCTCCTTGATTCATTTCACAAATTGTGCAACCACAGGCAAGTCAGATAAGTTCACAGATCTAACTGACAGAACACTTGAGCAAGTACAGAAGGATACCAATTAACTTGCAATCAGATACAGACACACTTTCTTCTGGGTATGATAAAGGAGGTTGTTAGGATGTACAGTCAGAATACAGAGCATTTCTGCATTCACTTTCAGAACAGCCACTGATTAACTTGAAATAAAACAAATATTAAGCAGAGGATAATACCATTTGTGGCCATGTTGGTAACATTCCAGAACCACATGGTCATGCCATCAAGTGCAACGAAATTATTTTCTTATCCTTTATGTCATTAGTTCCTTTTTTACGATATACTTTCAGCCTCAGATTTTAGATAAAATACTTTAAACAAAAGCTCAAGAAGAGAATCCAGGCCATCTGACTGGCAGAACTATCAAAAAGAAGAAAAATAATCAACAATCCCCCATACCCCAAATTCTCAGCTGACCATAAATAAATAAATAAATAAAAGCCCCTCCAAAACAACAACAAAAATCCCATACCTCCATATTCTTCATTCCAGCTGTTCTCCTATACTACTACACTTTAAGATGTCAATATCTCAGAAGAGATAAAGGGGAAGAAGATAAGGTAAAGTGAAAGTAAAACATATGCTATCCTAAGAAGAGTAGCAAGAGTGAAAGAAAGCACCAAGCCAGAAGACCAAGTTGTTCCCAAGAGAGGAACAGTGTATTTGATGAACCCTCAAAGCAGGAAAAGGATCAAAAAATGGAGGAGGGAGAAAGGGAAGGGAATCTGGAGAATCTGGATGCACAATGAACTTGAAAGAAAAGCAAAAAAAAGCAACTCCCTTCACTTTATTAATGCCATCTCTCTTTATCGTTCCCTTATTGTTCTCCACAGTTCAGAAGAAACTGAAGTATACAAGAATATCCAACAAGTTGCACAATAATCTTTTTCTTCTGAAAGAACTGCCAAAAACCTCACTTCTCAGTGAAACTGAAGCCACGAATGCCCTCATTTGATAGCCATTTTGAGAAATCTCTCCCCACTCCAGGAACAATACAACTAAATTCATAAAGATGCATGTCAAATTAAACTTATTTTTAAATACACAAGTGGGAGCAGAAAAAAAAACCTTCATGAGGCAACTGAGTGGCAAGATTTAAAAAAACACCAGCATAATCTTTCACCATATTTTTCTCAGCTTTAACTATATATGAAGTTAGAGCAGTTGGCAACAGAAAGTAGCTTGGAAGCTTGGATTCCCTTTCCACAAATTTCCACAGCTTAAAATATTAGCATTTCTTTGCAGTTTAACTGTAAGTTTCCCTGGAACTCTTCTGCTTTGAAAATACTAACAATCATAATCCTGTCATGTATTTGATTCTTAGTCAAGACTTCATCATCTTCACCTTAACAATCACCTTTCAGCAGCATACTGAAAGCACCTGTTGGTAATACACTTTCAGCCAGGTCCTGGAAGACACAGCATAGGCAGCAAGCTATTTCAAAAAGTCATGGCTCTTTCAGTACGTTCAAGCAGTGCACAATTGGTTTCACTGCACTTCTGTTGTTGTCATTGCTGTCAATTATGTATGTAATCAGAAACATGAGAATATCAACCCCTAGCAGATAACTTCTAAACAGCAGTTTGTTAACTTTCAAAGGCTTGCACTAACTTCCTTCTACAGAGGCCATCCTGATTCATTAGTTGGTCTGAGTAGCATTCCCTAAGAAAGATGTTACCATAGGATTTACATTTGCATAGGAATTGATGAGTCAGAAGAGATTCCAGTGTACTGGTACTGTACTGTACATAAGTACAGCACTGGCAATAGCCCAAACCTCTTACAAGAAATCAGCACTTGCTTGGAATGGCAGAGCATTACTATCCCTAGTTATAATTACCTTCAGCACTTTACAGTTCCACAGCGTTTTATATAACACATCACTGCACTTTTCTTCCAAAGCAGTAACAAGGCTAAAGTAATAGTAAAATAAACAGTAAAGTAACAAGGTAAAGTACCTGCTGCACTTGGTCTCTCCAGGAAAGAGACTTGTATGCTACAGAATGTCTTGCTTCAACAAAAAACTAGAAATTAGAAACAGTAAGGTCAGAGGAACAGGCCTGTAAGATTGGAAAGTAGGAAAAATTCAGTGTTTGTAAAATCTTGCAAAACCTCCTGAGATTAGAATAAGCTTTTATTAAGTCTTTCAGTCTTTTAGAGGATGATCAAGCTTCTGGCCATGTCATTAAAAAGCACCAGTAACCCTTTATAGACCCAAACCTCGAACGTTTATCAACTGAAAGACAAGGGCCAAAATCCTATCAATAGTTTAAAAACTATAAGGGAAGGTGTCACAGAAAGTAAAAGCCAAGTCTGGTATTTTCCCTGTAACACAATTTACCATAAGCACATGCTGCAACATTCCGTACAAGCTGTTTTCCTAAGCACTAAAGGCTCCATGCCCAGGTATCTCATATTGCTATAATCCAGCCAAACAGTGATGAAGGCACAAATAACTGAAGCCAGGTCATCATTTGCCAGGATAGCACTGTTTCCTAGCCAAAGTATTACTGGTAGATGCTGCTATGTGGGAGCCTGCAATCAGCCAGGAATCCAAGAATACTCTGAAATTACAGGCCAATGTATCCACACAGGGAGGCACATCTTCAGCCAAAGGAGGCTATTTTATCAAGCGAAAATCTTCAAAGATGCCATCTTGTGCTCATTACCACCCCACACCCTCCATTTCCACCCCCCTTCTTGCTCTGCTTCAGGACACTCTTATTTTCCCCCCGTTGTACCAATCCTGTCCAAGCCAGGGACTACACAAAATGCTTGTGTTAAAGAAAGCCAACACACTCACTGTTCTGTATTGCTAGTAGGTAAACTTGTGTATCCTGAGGTCCTGAGTGGTTCAACTGCTAAATTCACACTGCTTTGAATTTTTAAAAAGGATTTTCCTGTAGGACTTCTTAAAAAAAAAAAAAAAAAAAGTCTAGGAACAGATGAATTTCCACTACTAATTATACAACACTGTCACTTCAGTGCAGTGCAAGCAGATGTGCTACTTCTATCTCATGCAAAACATAAGTTCTTTCTGCTAAGAATATGAAATCTTACAGAGATGGTCAAAAACAGAATTTCTGCTGTTCTACATCCACCATCAAAAGGATACCTTCTCTGTTTTGGTTTGAACTCAGATTTGTTTTCTCCATAACACAGTTTCTTAAGCACAAGTTTTCATTTGACAATGGCTGTTGATGGGAGATGGAAACAGACAGGGG